TTTTCCCTTTTGTCTGCACTTTTGCACATATTTTAAGCCTTCAATAACTTTTCTTTGTATATCAGACAATTCAGATTGACTAGGGAACGTCCAGACAGAAGGTTCTGTGTTGAAAAATGACTAATAACGCTGGTCTATCTTAAAGTCAACCTTCTGGATGAGGTTTTTTGCAATACATAGCAGGTTAGCGATGTGGGTTCCCAAATGAGGGAGGAACAAGAGCATTTACTGGACATAAAAAAGCACTTCAAGTTGTTGCTGTGTCGCAAAACTCTCAAATATGTCAGTCGCACAACATTGACTGCTGGGAGTCCAACAGTCTTTTAAGAACGCCTTTCATGGAAAAAGTAGCTTTTGCTAGTTACCATTCACAGCAGAAAACTAGAACAAAGTAGTTCTGGTCATAAACATTATTGCAATGCATGCTTGACAGCAAAGAAGTATCTTTAGATATTGCGCAGAGCTATCTGAGGCCTATTAAATTTCTCTCTTTACTTTATTAGCTTAATAACATCCAGGTGCTTTATAAGCTGTGCAGAAGATATTTTCCAGAATATTGCCTGAACTCTTTCTTTATGTAACCCAGGTGTATGGACTGACAGGTTAATGCACAGAAACTGTCCACAAACAGTGGCATGTCATAGAGATTTTAAGGACAATTTAGGAGACTATTTAAGAGGAAGCATGAAAGTGTTCGGAAAAACTGACTCTAGTTAGGTTTTCAGTACAACATAAGTTTCTTTGGTGTTTCAGAAGCCAATCCCTAGCTTGGAGAAACACAGATATAAATTGTGATCATGACCAAGAATACGGCCTTTAATTATGTTATGCCTGCACACTGATATTTGGTTCTTGTGGTGTCGCCTATATTTTGTGGTCACACTGTGCCAATTCATAATAAAACCTAATATCATGCACAAGCCAGATCGAGGAGCCAACTGGAACAAAGCCAAACTATCATATTCTGCATTGCAATTTACATTAATGAAATGACCACAGCAAAAGACAGATTTATTGTCCTTTTTCTTCTGGGATTAAGCCAGTACAGTGCACACTGACATTTATTTGTTGTTATATTTACTACATGCCAATCAGAGACATCTAATCTAAGAAAAGGGTCTACAATTATACCCTGGCCTCCCAATCAACTTTATATATTCCCCGTGTCTGTTTGCCATTTCAAGACAGGAATGAAAAATAAATAAATAAAAACATTCAGTGCAGAATTTGCAGCTAGATGTGCCTACTGGATAAGAGGCACATCAAACTTTCCGCGTTGAGTAGAAGCGCCACATGGGGCGCCCTGTCACAACAAATGAGACCTTTTTTTGTTTCCTGCAAACGCATGCAGCCAACTTCTTACCCACTGAATGCTGAGGATGGAACTGCTGTCCTCCATGCAGAGAAATCCGAGAATGAAACTGAGGCCTGTGCAAAGAATAAAAAGGGTTGTTTTAAAAACAATGATGCACATTTTTACATCAACATTCTTCACATATAAACGTTTTTTTTTTATCCCCCTTTATTACATATTACTTCGTATCTTTAAGCTTCTACAGATGTTCTGTCTGTGTAAGCAGACATAATATATGCTTTAATAGATAATCGATCACTTTGGAGTCTTTTGCAGTATAGAGCAGCTTAGGTTATATAAACTGATACTTAATATTCGACTTTGATTTTTAGAAGAAAAAAACTAACTACATGACGTTATAGCGCTCTGTATGTAAAAATTTAATTAACCCAAAGAAAAGGCATAACTGCGGGTATAAGTGTAAAATTATTTACTATAAATAATTAACTAACAAAGCATAATGCAAGGGTACTTTGATAATTTAACAAACCAAACAGTTGACTGTGGAGTAAAGTAAAAGTATTAAGTTGTAGAAAAACTTAATCCGCAAGTTTTCCAACTTAAAACGTGTTTTTTGTTAAAGCAGTCGCTTCGGCTGTGCGCATCTCTCCACTGTCTCCGTGCGTCAAAGCGCATCAAAGCGCCACTCCAGCGAGGCTCCATCACCATCTCTCATGATCCCTTTTCATTTGCCTGTCGTGTTGGCTTCCTCTCACCACTTTTTAACATTTCAGAAAACAATTGGTTAACAGGTAGATTCATTTATTACCCCAAATCGGCCGATAGATATTAAAAAATTGGAAAAGAAATATCTCTTCATCACAAAAAAAGAAAGAAAAGAAAAAAAGGAAGTCCTTGTCAGAATATCCACAGATAACGTTTTAGTTTAGATCCATGAGATGTAAGTGCGCAGGCATGGATAAGTCCTGAAACAGAATAAAAATCCACATAGAATATCTGAGAAGTAAATATCTCCGTTCATCTTAGACCGGTTGAGACAGGCGGACCGCGGGCCTCCTCCTTGTCTCCATCTGGGCCCGATAGGTGTGAGAGGTGTGAGCTGTGGGGAGCTCCGCAGCCTCTCCAGCATCCGTGCCTCAACTGTTAAATGTAACATTTTAAAGGATGATTTTATTTCTGTTATTCATTCCTAAAATCCGTAGGATGGGACTCTCATTAGGGGCCGAATAAGCAAGCATCAACACTTTTTTTCGCTGTCCATAAGCACACGGATCACTTAATAGATCATTAACCACCAATATGCTGCTGACATGGACGCTTTTTAACATCTCGTCTCTCCATTACAGCTTGTGATTGCCAAGGAGGGGGGGAGAGAGCCGCCGAAAGGCCTGCCTGGGTCTATTAGACGGCGGAGTCGGGTGATAGCAAAGAGCATTATGACCCAATGAGGCTGCCGCCCGGTCGGCCTCGCAGGAGGAAGGTTTTCTGGGCGGCTCGGCGCGGCGCGTTGCGCTCTGAGCGCTTCTCCTGTTGGAACTGCAGCTTTGGAAGCGCGCCTGCAGGTGGAGGGAAATTAACTGATAAAGATACAGACGGTGCTTTTTATTCTGGGGTTAGGAAAGGAAGAGAAAAGAGTGATGAGCTTGGAGATGATAACAGGGATAAAGTTAGTGAAATGTTAGAAATAGTGACGCTCAATAGAGGAAATATTAGTCAGTCAATGACCTCAAAGTAAATGCAATGACAGGTTAAATAATTAGTAGTTTTGGTTTATCAATAATTATCATAACTGATTAAAGTATAATTATTAATAACTGATTATTAAATACATGATTATTTTATTATTGCTCTTCAGACTTCATTTTAACATTACTTTAGCCATTAGACTTAAATCTAATTTATTTTCTAACCTAATATTTGTCCTTTTTTTCTACTTCATTTTTTGTGTTCAGGTTTGATTAGTTTTTGCAAGGGTTAAAAAAAAAAGGCTGAGCCAAAACTTTGTCGGGGTTACCGTGGAGTAGCAAGCTCGTGGAGGGCTTCGCTGCTTCAAAGTGATTAAGAATTTAGGCTGAACAAATGAGCCCTTCATTATCGGCTCTTATCTTTGGCAGCCTCCTCCTGCAGCCTGACTGATCAATACCTTCTGATCGCGGTCGTGCTCAGCCGTGAATATCACTTGGAAACGAAATTATAATCCTATTGATCCTTTAAATTGGCTCATTTACTCACACTTTCTTTTTTTTGGCAAAGAAGACAGACACATGCTCACATTTCCACATTTGCGCCTTTCCTCTCCATTCTTAATTGAACTGAAAGTTTTAAATCAAACCGTATGAATGTTTGCAGGAAAAAAATGTCTGCTTTTATTTCAACTGACTGAGATTAATAGCTATTTTTATAAAACACACGACGTGACCTTTTAAATGGATAAATTAGCCATAGATAAAAACATTAAAAGGAGATTTCCCTGTTCAGCAGCATCCTTTCAGGCAGCCTTATCCGTGCTTGTATTGTCCACGCAGGGGCAGCCTTGAGCCTGTTTCCTTTGATTTTAGTTTGATTCATCTGTGTGTGAAAATCACGGGTCAGGCCAAAGGCATTTTTTAGCAATAACATCCTTTTGTATGTGTGTGGGTGTGTGCAGGTTTTTTAAGTGATTTAAACAAATATGTTTGACAACAATGACAGTATGGTTTTGAAGTCATCAAACAAAGTAACCATGCACACGCGCGTATTATATTGTATTTTTTAGGACTCTAGTTGTTAAAAGGAAGCTGATGATATATCTTTGTGCGAAGGAAAAATAAAAATGTGCGTCTTTAAGCCGTTTGAGAGAGAGATGATAGTTTGGCATAATGTGCTGCACAGCCTGGATGATTTGTATTAGAGGGAAATCTAACCTCAAACTTTTTTTTTATAGGTGACATGAATCCAGTGGTGATTATGTGTGGAGACAAATTAAGAGGAAAAAAAACGCGTTCCTTTTAAACTTTTACGCACGCAGCGCAAGAATTCTTACATGTTTCTTTTGCAGAACAGCTGGATGAGATTCTCTGATCAACTGGAAAAAAACTTTTCTTGGACGTTTGGTTGACTCAGTTTTTTTTTTTCTTGAAGAATTGATCTAATATCCTAAGCAGTATAAAAGAAGAAACTCCATATAATGAAGCATGTCTTTCTTCCTCTGTCCTCCCACCTTCTGCTTTTAGGGAAGTCGGTCAGCTGACTGTCTCTGCCTGTCAAGCCTGAGATGCCTCCTCCTCCTCCTCCTTCTCTCTCTCTCTTTCCCGTGTCGTGTGGCTGTGTCAGTTTTTTCATCCTCAGCTTCTCTCTCCCATTGGAGAGCTCCTCGCCATAGAACCTGCCTTCCAGTGCGACGTCACCGTGCGCTAAAAGGATAAAGCGTCGGTTGGCTCTGAGCGCAGACTGCTGAATACCAGAGAGTGGAGGGAGAGTGAGAGAGAGGCGAGTCTTTAAACCTCTGCGGTGCAGAGCTGGAAAAGCAGCTTCTCAGCGAAAAAAAAGAAAGGAAAACAGACGTTCTGTTCGCTTTGCTTCCTGGCTCCTTTCTTGATTTTCATGGAGGAAAAAAAGGACTGATTACCAAGAAGTTGCGACGTGGACTGGTGCCCGTCTCAGCGCGCAAACCTGGTATTTTTTCCTTTTATTATTTATTATTATTATTTTTATTATTTTAGTTTTTTTTTTCTTTGAACTGACTTCTGCTGAAAGGACTAAGAAAAGTTGCACCGAGGCAGCACTGTTTTCTACCTCTTGCCCGGTTTCTGCCAGATTATTCCAGCAGAAGTAGGCTATATGACGCAAACAGCACGCTGAGCAATCGTCTCAAAGTTTTTCTCCACAACTTTTTTTCTTTTTCTTTTTTCTTTTTGCATCCACCAATCACACGGTGTTTCATGCTACAGCAAGTCGGTGCAGATTTGTGGAGGAGCCAAAAGAACAATTGCATGAAACAAGAAAGAAAAGAAGAAACTTTGATTAATAAATCCGTGTTTGCGACGCTCACATATCTGCAGAAGAGTCGCGACAACAGCATGAGCGCAGAGATGAGCATGGGCCCGGAGCTGCCCAGCAGCCCTCTGGCTCTGGAATATGTCAACGATTTTGACCTGATGAAGTTTGACGTGAAGAAGGAAGGCCTGGTCGGGCTTGATCGCAACGGGGTGCGCCAATGTAACCGCCTCCAACCCCAGGGCTCCGTGTCATCCACTCCAATTAGCACGCCCTGCAGCTCGGTGCCCTCCTCGCCCAGCTTCAGCCCCACAGAGCAGAAGCACCACCTGGAGGAGCTGTACTGGATGCCGAACAGCGGGTACCACCAGCAGATAGACCCGCAGACGCTGAGCCTGACCCCTGAGGACGCTGTGGAGGCCCTGATTGGTGCCACGGCGCACGGCCACCCGCAGGCTCCACACGTTCAGCAGCAGTTGCAGCAGCAGCAAGGCGCTTTCGAGGGCTACAGGGGCCCGCACCACCACCACAGCCACCACGGACACGGCCAGCAGCAGCATCATCATCCGTATGCGGGAGGCATCCCGCACCACGCCGAGGAACTCTCCGGACACCCGGGGGGACACAACCATCCGCACAGCCAGCACCATCACCACCACAGCCAGGACCCCGACAGCCCATCTCCAGTGTCCCCAGAGTCCCATCAAACTCTGCACCACCACCGCCACCACCACCACCACCATCCACACGGTCACCTGAGCCAGGCGGCCGCGCACCACAGCGGCGGAGGCGGCGGGCTCAACGTGGAGGACCGCTTCTCCGACGAGCAGCTGGTGTCCATGTCTGTGCGGGAGCTGAACAGACACCTGCGGGGCTTCACGAAGGACGAGGTGATCCGCCTCAAGCAGAAGAGGAGGACCCTGAAGAACCGCGGCTACGCGCAGTCGTGCAGGTTCAAGCGCGTGCAGCAGAAGCACGTGCTGGAGAACGAGAAGACGCAGCTGATGAACCAGGTGGAGCAGCTGAAGGCAGAGATCAGCCGGCTGGCGCGGGAGAGGGACGCCTACAAACTCAAGTGCGAGAAGCTGACGGGGTCAGGGGCCGGGAGCGGGTTCCGCGAGGCGGGCTCCACCAGCGACAACCCCTCATCACCAGAGTTTTTCATGTGAGTCGCCCTTTCTACAACAAACTCTCCCCTTCCCTCCACCTCGCCTTGATTGACTCTTCTGCTGAACACACAGTAGAAGTCCACGCACCCTGTTTGATTCTTACTAATAACAGTGAAATTATATTCATAATAGAAGAATAATCAATCAGATAGATATTATTCTCATATATAACCATCTACAGATGCCTCCATGTGTCAAAAGAGAAGCAAAGAGCAGAGCAAAGCCCGATCAGTCGCTGTACTTTTTTTGTAGATTAGTTGCTTGTAGTGAAGAGACTCTTTGGGGGAAAAAGAGGAACCTCTGCTGAACATTCTTCTCCTCTGAGGCTGCAGCTTTTTAAAACTTACCTGTGCGTAAAGCGTGAGCCACGGGATCAAGACAGAAGTTTTTGCTTTGTCAAATTCACGACACTGTTTATGCAAAGAGAAACAAACAGGCCTGGCTCCCCAACAGCATCGCAGCCTGCAAACCTGATCCCCGAAATTTCTTTACCCTCTCCAAAAAATAAAAAAAAAATGGAAAAAGCGTGACTCCACTTTATGCAAATTCAACTCCTGTCTACCAGGGAGGGGGCGGGGGTGGGGGGTGACATTTTATGCAACATTTCATTGATTTATTGCCTGCTTGGTTATATTCGAATATATATAGAAATAAAAGCAAAAAAAAAAAAACCTGCATTAAATATTAATCCTGCATGCTGGACATGTACGGTAATAATTTCTATTTTGTATTCTCATCTTCTCCTGTATATTAAAAGCATGTCTTTGATCTGCGCATCACCTTTTTTTCCCTTTTATTTCATTTTTTTAAAGTTAACACAGGACTGCCGGTGCAGTGCCGTTTTGGTGAGGGGGATTTGTGATTTTTATTTTTTTCGGGGAGGGGGGGCTTGTAAATATTACAGAACTGCACAACAAGATTGAGGAGGCTGGATGAACTTCTTTTCTTTTGTGTTTAGGTTTTTTTTCCCTTCATTTATTGTTCGTTTCGATTTATTTTCTATCATTTGTGGCGGAGTGGGCCGTGGTAAAGAAAGAGTGCATTTTCTATCTAATTGCATTTAAATACACAAAAAATGTGTGTCAAGTGCACTTTTGGATGATGATTTAAACAGTTTTCATTTTGAATTTTGCAAAAAAAAAAACCTCCCTACAGGAACACTTATCATGCTGAAGTTTAAAAATGGGCCCAGTTTTTTCCAGTTTTAGTGTGATATCTTCTCAGTTTCCCTGTCAGAATTTCAAAAAGGATAAGATAATGGTGTTTTTATTTAACTTGAATTGTTTCAATTAAGTTTTTTTTTAATTTTTTTTTATGACTCATCCCTTCATTCCGACTCGCACCTGTTGCTCTTTCTAACTGGGCCCAATAATGGTGATTTGTATTTTAAATATCTAGAAATCATGCTCTCTAAAAGTTTTAAATTAAAGATAATATTTAGATAAAACAACTTTTGATATGAAGTTTAATGATCTATGTTATCCTGGTTTTTTTCTGCCGGTCAGTTAAAAAAAGGGATTCAGGTTGTGCAAATTTTCAAAATGAAAACGGTGTTTGTTGTTTATGTTATGTCATACTGTTTTGTTTCTGTTTGTGTGTTTATGTCAGGTTTATTATTATTTGATGATTCTGGTTCTGCTGGCCAGATGCGTAGTTTTAAAAAAAAGTTTTTATTTTAATGATTTAAATTAAAGTGTGTCAGATCATATCAATTGAGCATGGTGCTTGCATTGAAAACATGTTGAAAAGTCATTGCATTTTTTAAAACAATCTTGGTTTTTTTGATTCAACTGTGTTGAAATCGAACTGAAACTGCAGCAGCAGCGGGATGTTTTTTTTCTTTTTTTTTTTCTGTTTTTCACCGGTTCCATGTATACCTACTTCTATATGATGTGGGGGGAGGGGAACACTTTTCAATCCTGTTTATATATATATATATAAATATAATGATAAGTAACACTTTAAAAAATTGAACTGTTGCATTCAGGCTGGTTTCTGTTTTGTCCTTTTGTTGTTGTTTTTGGAAAAATAAAAGTTTCATATTTTGCTTATTAAAGTCATTGAAATGGCGTTTATGATCTCAGACTTTTTTCTTTCCTCCCAATTAACAGAATTAGACGCAGGTTGTTTCTCAGCTGCAATAAAAACAAAAATGAATCATAATAGCTACTAAATTCACCATTGCATTATTGTATTATTTATCGCCTGATGTGAAACTGAAGTGTGAAGTTTGGCTTGAAGCCCGCTGGTCTGCAGGGATTAGATCACCGGGGTCTTGCAGTTCAATGCTCCGCTGCTGCAGGGAGATTCCTATAGCTGCTGCTCCGCCTGCATGCTGCTGACTCCTGCAGAAAGCCCGTCGTTGCAGGCGCGCTCAGTAAAAGGAGATCTTTGACCTTGCAACACACTGGAGAAAGGGAAGCAAATCTCAGTTTTACATTAGAGCAATAAAATAATGCACCTATCACCATGCATTGCTTGGAGACACCTACAAGCTAAATAGCAGGTGCTTCTAGAACATTAATATTATTATTATTGTCTGCAAGAGACAAACTGTCGCCAGCTGAGCCAACCTCAGCTTCATAGGCACGCGGGTGACGTTCACAGTTAGTGATTATACCGATAGGTGTCATTACATTTTCACTCTGGTCCCTGCATGCAACCGTGAGTATAAGATGAATCGTTATTTGCTTTAAAATAACAGAGATGCAACTTTAGACACGTGAACTTGTCCAATAAAAACACAACGCACATGTCGCTCCTCAGTCCTCATAACCCCGATTGTGTTACAGTTGAAGCAGGAGAAGAAGGGAGTAAGTGTCGATCTGGTCCCGCTCTAGAGTTTCTGGTGTCAGAACATTATCTGCTCCATGTCTGCACATTGTCAAGGACAAAAACTGCCATGCGGAGAGTCAACCAATGAGACCGAGGACCGGTGGGCCCTGGTTTACTTTCTGCCTCCTTTCCGTCTGCAGCCTGAGGGCAGGAGTGCAGCTGAGGTGAAGGAGCAGAGAGGGGCAGCGATAAGAACCCAAAACAATAAAAAGAAGACTTTTAAGGTTTAGATCTTCTGTTTATTTATTTTTAAAGTGCGCCTGCAGGGAGGAAACTAAGACGACATAGGTGTGTATCTTTGTGTAGCATCATGTTTGATTCAAGATGTCAACACAAGTAAAATGTCAGCTGGGTGCAAACAAGTGTCACCATAAGATCTTTGTAGAGGTCAAAACCCTGCTTTTTTCTTTTGCATGACAAGAAAAAAAAAACCTTCATGATAAAGGTGACCTTATGAATGTTTTATAAATGATTAAGTAAAGCCCTATGGAGATCACTCATCAGAGATAAGCTCTGTTACAGATGCACCAACATCAGCGAAAGGTCAATTTGTTTCAGGAATTCTAGTGGAAAAGGGAAACTTACACACTTAATATATGCATCATACACAAAGTGACATTTTTAAAGTGTTTCATTATGTTTAAATGAATGATTGAGATGTGCAGCAAATGAAAACCTCGGGTAATTTGAATAATACAGAGAAAAACAATGATTTTTATTTTTTATTTTACAGCACCTTTATCACCAGAAAGACGACTGATCGGACAGTTGTCCAATAGACAGCCATCATTACCCTCCATAACGAGGGTCATTTTTTGTTCTTGAATATTTTAATTGAAAGGGAATTTGCAGGAGTACCAATAACTAATGGGTTCCACAGATATAAACACTTAAAATGCCTCGCTCTCTGTTTCATGAACCTACCACATGTAAGTTTCACTTCCTTTAGTGAGTTACCAAAACTTTGTGTTTCATTTGAAATCACGATCCGATTGTCTGGAGGAAGAGTGGAGAGGAGCAGAAGAGGTTCAGTCAGTCGTGATTAGCGCCACGCCATCTGCTGATGTGGGTCGAGTGAGATTTTTCTAATCTAAAGTCAGTGTAGCCATCTAAAACAAAATCCTTCAGCACTAAATGCTTCTCTCTGCTTACAAGCATGTTGGAAATTCATTTTTCAGTTTCGAACAGGACTTGGCTCCTGCCCACTCCTCAAAAAAGTATGAATACCTGCTTGACTGACCAGTGAAGCTCTCTTACCTAAACACAATAGACCGTGGAGAACTATCAAGAGGAAGCTACGGATGGGCAACCTTACCTTCCATAAGACCTCAGTAGAGTCACGGACTGATTGTCTCCATGCGATGACACATTAAGGAGTGCTTAATCTTTACAGTGCATGGGCATACTTCCATATCTGTAATAAAAACATAGTTTTTTATTCATTTCAGTGGGGTATTCAATTATTTCTAAAATCTGGATTATGGGTTTTATTTATAAACCATAAGCCTTGATATAACAGACATAAAAAATTTAAATATGTCCCTCTGTGTTTAATGAATCTATTGATTACACTCTTCCCTTTGGAAGCTTAATTGCAAGAAAGAAACCTCTTAACATTTTGCTGCTGAAGCTTAAGTTGGGCTTCTTCACATTGTTAATGAATGAATATATACAGCCCTTTTTTATGTAGCTGCATTTGTAAAAAATATATATATATTTAAGTTCACTACACAACTCAACCTAGTCTTGGATAATAGGCTTTGTAAGAGGCAAGATCCCAAATTAAATTCAGCATGAGAGTTTCATGTAAACTTGGATTGGCTTTTGACAAGGCTAGATGGAAACAACTTTTTTTGTGGCTTCTGGCCTGTAGATCCTGTCTAGAAGGAAGGTTTTCTCCTTGCCGAGAGTTAGCTTTTGCCGAGAGTGAAGGAGAGAGAGAAGAAAGGCAGACGGTGATGGTATAAGAAAGCCTGAGCCTCAGCACAGCGGAAGAGCCAAGGACACAGTGACCAGGCGTACTGTAATGATTTTAGTCTCCAATCACACGTTTGAGCTCCCCCACCTCACCCATGGAGATCCTATCTGCATTCAGCTCTGCCAGCCTCCACTGTCAGCTGCTTCTGCAACAGCAAAGACTCCCCAGGCAGTGGCTTCAAACCTACCCTGTTTCTGTTCACTGACTGAACCCCACAACATTTCTAAGATCTACTCTCAGTCCCTGCAGCCAGAGACTCTTGAAGCTTCTGTATAAGCCCTGCTGCAGGTGTTTAGAGGTCTCTGAAGTGAGTGCACTCCTGGCTCCTCTCTCCAATCACATCTGACAAACCACAAACTAATTTGCATCGATGCATATTTTGAAGGAACACGAGTTGTTTATTTTCTCACTCATTGCATTCTCAGGTCGAAGAGCTCTGTGTTTGATCTGTTGTTGATTTAATTACATTTTTATAAAATGTTCATTTTGATATTATTGCACATGTGAAGAGAAACCCACAGCTCCATGCACTCAAACAACAACATTCCATTTACTTTTATTGGAAGTGATTGCCCTGTTCCCCTAAAGCACGGAGATTTCTTGTGGAATTACAGCAGGGTTTCCTCAAGAGAGACACTCATATACACAAGAAAACACTAGCTATTTAGAGCTAGTGTTTTTCAGTTTAAATAAGAGGCAGATA